AACTCCTTTTCTGTGTCTCTGTTTCCTTGACTATACAACCAGCTATACAGGGTGATCTTTTAGATGAAATATAATCAAAATGTAAAGTACCTCTAGTAGAGTCTGAAACATAGGGAGCACATAGAAAATATTACTTGTTTTTTCCTCCCTATTCCCCCTTCACACATTTTCTATGAGTACTTAGAAAACATTCCAATGGATGCCCACTCGCTTCAGGAGTTCTGTGGCATTGAATTCTATGTTATTAATTCAGGATAGCAGAGCATGTGCTTGCAGAGAGGGAGCAAATGTCCATGAGCTAAGGTTTTGAGACCAACCACAGGGCTATACCTGGGTCTGCTCAGGCTCCTTTTATGTCATACTGGGACAGTTCTTTGGCCCCTCTGTCAAGATCATGGAACAAGGATCTGAGGAGATGGCTCAGTGGTTTGGGGTACTTGTTGCTCTTGCAGAGGACCCAGGTTTGATTCCTACCACTCACACGGTGGCTCACCATGACCCATAACTCCAGTTCCAGGGGATCTGATGCTCTCTTCCAACCTCTGAGGGCACCAAGCATGCACATGCTATATATACATACATGCAGGCTAAATGCTTACACACAAAATGAGTAAGTCTAATAAAAAATTTTTTAAAGAATATAGAACAGGTATATGTTACAAATGGAATTGCTATTGAAAACAACTTCTTAGAAAATAATTTACTATAAATAGTCAAGCTGAGCCTAACTTACATACCCTCTAATCCAGCTTCAACCTTTGTATTTATATTCTGGGAAACCTTCAAATATGATCCAAAATATTAACAACAATAGAGTATTTAAATTGTGCTATATTCATAAAATGGGATATTATAAAGGTAATTACAAAAAAGTTTGCTATATGAAACATTATGAATCAATTTTAAAATTAGTACTGAACAAAAAATAAAAGCCAGAGCTGGGCGTAGTGATGTGTGAATTTAATCCCAGCACTCAGGAGGAAGTGGATCTCTGTGAGTTCCAGGACAGTCTGGTCTACAAAGTGAATTTCAGGACAGTCAGCTGTGTAAAGAGACATTAAATAAATAAATACATACATACATACATACATACATACATAAGTTTCTAATTTAAAAAATAGACAAGGCATGGGGCAGCAGTGGAGCATACCTTTAATCCCAGCATTTGGGAGGCAGAGGCACATGGATCTCTGAGTTTGAGGCCAGCCTGGTCTACATAATGAGATGCAAGATAGCCAGGGCTACACAGAGAAACCCTGTCTCAGAAAAAAAAAGAGACGAGGCTAGGAGTGGTGACATATCCCTTTAATTCCAGGATGCAGAAGCAGGCAGACCTCTGTGAGCCTCATCTGTCTACCAAGTTGCAAGCCAGTCAGGACTACATACTAAGACCTTTTCTCAATAAAAAAAAATTAAAAGAAATATTAAATAAGAGACAAAAATCTGAATGAATGACAACAAAGTGTAATGATTCATATATATAAAGGTTACCACAAAGGTTCCCCATTGCTTTTTATTCAAGCCTAAAATTTTTTAAACTATTTATAGATTCTTAGAGAATTTCACATTATGCACCCCCTCCCACTCATTTCCAAGTCCTTCCATATCTGCCCTCCACGCTTGTAGCCTCCTCCCCTCCCTCAAAAAAAAATTTTTTTAAACATCTGAGTTGCTGGATCACGTGAAGAGTTAGGCCTGTGGAAGTAAAGCCAAAGGATCTCCATGACTCAGAGCAGCACGAGGAGTCTCAGTGAATATCCCGTAGTGATGAGGTAGCAGAAGCCAGAGGCCTTGAACCAGACCAATAATCATTGCAGTGAACATTTGTAAGAAAAATGTTTGGGCAAAAGGGTATAGTTTGTTAAACTTCCTGATTAACCTAAATTTTTTAACAAGAAATTTTTATGTAAACAGGCAAAACTCACCAGGTAGTAGTGGCACATGCCTTTAATCCCAGCATTTGGGAGGCAAAGACAGGCAGAGTTCTGTGAATTTGAGGCCAGCTTGGACTACAGAGTGAGTTCCAGGACAGCCAGGGCTACACAGAGAAACCTTGTCTCGAAAAAGCAAAACCGGGGCTGGAGAGATGGCTCAGAGGTTAAGAGCATTGCCTGCTCTTCAAAGGTCCTGAGTTCAATTCCCAGCAACCACATGGTGGCTCACAACCATCTGTAATGAGGTCTAGTGCCCTCTTCTGGCCTTCAGACATACACGCAGAAAGAATATTGTATATATAATAAATAAATAAATATTTTTAAAAAAAGAGTAGCTCTTTCTTAAAAAAAAAAAAAGAAAAAGAAAAAGAAAAACCAACCAGACAAAAAAGAAAAAAAAAGAAAAAAGAAAAAAAAAGGCAAAGGCAAAACTCATTTGTGGTCATAAGAACTAGATAATAGGGGCTGGAAAGATGGCTCAGCAGTTAAGAGTACACTGGCTGCTTTTCCAGAGGCCCTGAGTTCAATTCCCAGCAACCACCTGGTGGCTCACAACCATCTGTAATGAGGTCTGGTGCCCTCTACTGGCCTGCAAGCACATGTGCAGACAGAACACTGTAATAAATAAATAAATGAATAAATAAAATGTTACCAAAAAAAGGGGAGGGGGGCTGGAGAGATGGCTCAGAGGTTGAGAACACTGGCTGTTCTTCCAGAGGTCGTGAGTTCAATTCTCGGCAACCACATGGTGGCTCACAGCCGTCTATAATGAGATCCGGTGTCCTTTTCTGGCCTGTAGGCAGACATGGAAACTAACACTGTATACATAATAAATAAATATTAAAAAAAAAGGATTAGATAATTCCTAAACTGGAGATGGTAGTTTATCCCCATAATCCTAGCATTGGGGAGACTAAGGCAAGATTGTCACAAGTTCGAGTTTGACCCTGTCTGAAGAAATAAATTAATTTCTGGCCCAGCAGTGAGATGGCCAAGTGCTTACTGTGGAGCCTGGCAACCTCAGTTCATTTCCCAAAATCCACATGGTAGGCACTGAGCAATGGTGGCGCACGCCTTTAACTCCAGCACTCTGGAGGCAGAGGGAAGCAGATCTCTGTGAGATAGAGGCCAGCCTGGCTTACAGAGCAAGTCCCAGGACAGGCCCCAAAGCTACAGAGAAACCCTGTCTCGAAAAACGAAACTTCTCGTCAAGGGTTTCTCTTCCAGACCCACTTTGACTATTCTTGCCTTATTTCCTACTCTCTTTCAGAGGTCACAACAGGACACATCATCTCTACCACTAGATATTTTGTCTTAATTTTAGTTTTGTGTCTCTGCTCCACAGTGTGGCATGCTTCAACATTCAATTTGACTTCAGGGCATATATGAGTAGGTTCAGTCCCTAGTACGTGTACACACACACACACACACACACACACACACACACGAAAAGAAAACATCTCCAAGAATTTATAAAAGAAAATTGCAATTTCATCTCTAGCCATGCATGAGATTGCTCTTGGGAAAAATGAGATTTTCCTCTTTTATCACGCAGGGTGAGAAATGAGACTTCAGAGTCATTCCTACCCTTGCTGCGAGGTGGCAGCACTGTCATGCGGCAGCTACAGCAGTTTTTAAACAGAACAGCAGAGAATGTGTCAACACCACAAGGGAGTAGAGAATCATTTGAACACAATAAGGGAACTAACTGTCAACAAAAACCACAGAACCCAGGAAAGCAACTGCAGGAGAGGAAGAGGCCCACACGGATTTGCTGCTGGGCTGGACGCCTGGTGCTTCCTTTATCCCTTCTCTATTTGAGCCAACAGATTGTCCTTCAAGGATCTCCCTTCCATTAATGTTTCCCACCAAGATTTTGATGCTTAGTTTGGCCAAATTTCAAGCTGTATTGATGTGTCAGGATACAGGGTGCTACTTATTGTAATTTGATTAAAATATCACAAAGCCCTTATGGAAAGTTCTTTGAACCAACTCTTTATGTGACTATCAATCAAAAGTTTCAGCCTCCAGAACCTTCTCATGCATAGCTAAGCCCATGTTGGCTTCAATGAAGCAATTTACAGCGGGCAGGAAGGCTGTGAAGGCTCTGGACATTGACAAATATCTAACTAGACGTTTTCTTCTTTATGACCTCACCTAGCGATCTATCAAGAAGTCTTCAGAGTTGGGCATAGTGATACACACCTGTAATCTCTCTTCTTGGGAGGCAGAAGCAAGAAGATCATGAGTTCAAGGCTAGCCTGGAATACAGCATGAGTTTCAAGAAAGTCTGGGCCATATGGGAAGACCCCTTTTTAAAATAAGTCTTTATAGCATAATACTAATTATATATATTCAATAGCAACTAGTGTCAACTGCAGACAGTAGTACTCATGCACTGTAGGTAGCTCTTTCTCATACCTCTTGACCCAGTAGTCATAATAAAGTTGTTTTGAATATACTCATTCCATTATTCATGAATGTGAAAATATACACAATTCCACAGGTATGCCTATGCTCATGTGAACTTATGGTTATAACTGTAAATGAATTCCAGAGATCTTTTGGTTGAGACTCTATTTATACAAGTGAAAAACTGAGTCTGAATAGCCACGTAATTTCTCCAAGGTGTCCAAAAAGGCTTGAACTAGAACTCACTTATAGTGATTGCTAAAGTCCAATGTTCTCCCCAGTGGAAGGCACTGACTCATTCAGTCCTAGTTTCTTCTCCTGTCCTAGAAATTGTACCTCTTAATAGGCATATCCATATCTCTTAATGTTGGTGTGTATACCTATGTGCCTCCATCAGAGAGCACACTTGTGAGTGACTACATGTCTATCTGCAAGTATTTATAAAGCATATCTTTGGGTGTTTATGCACTTTCTGTGAGGGAAACCTCTAGATAATGACGGTTCTTAGAGTTGGCATCAGCAGTGAAGTCAGGGCAGACTATCAAAGTCAATCATTAATAAGCAGTTTTTGTTCTTCCTCCAATCAGTATATTCCTGGGTCTTCAGGAAACAAGGCAAAATAGTCAGGGTAGAAGCAGACAGTCAGAGTGAAACTTGGTTTCAGAACAGTAGAAGCAACAAGAGGCAAAGCCTGTAAGGGGCTGGGACGGAGTAACAGTGGGCTGTAGGCAAGAAGTGCTCATGAGGTCAGGTTGGCATGGACACCATCTTAGTCTTCAGTCTAATCATTGCATCCTTTGATTCCAACAAGAACGGTAAGTACTTCTCTAACATAATATGCTAGAACATCCAAAAGGAAGCCTAGAAAGAATTTGGAGCCTCTTCTATCAGATAGGGATGTTACCAATACCCAAGTTGTACTTTGCAGAAATCAGCCCATATATCTGATCATTAAACCCAAGGAGATATCTATCTGTTTCATAAGTCTTCCGGGAGTGTGGTGCCTTCTTTTTTCTTGCTTGCAATGATAACAATAAAAACCTGGTCAGACAGCTCTCATTGTGAGACGGTACCACAGTTTTGTAAATTAATCCCTCATAAGATGTTGCCTTAGTTTTTAAGGTGGTACACTCAAATGATTTAAATGGAGATGTTAATGGGGCGAGCTGAGGGAAAGGTGATATGGGGGTGGAGCGGCACTGTTTGCTACTCTTTAGTAAGCGTTGATTGACTTGGAGTTTTTGTTTGTTTTTTGCTGAGGCTTGACAGCCAGCCTTAGGAAGCTGGGCAAGTGTTCGGCCACTTAGCTCTGCCTTTGCCCTGGTAGTAAATGTTTATTTAAAATACGATTTTTTTTCCAGAGTTTCCTAAACATTCCTTCTCTAAAATTAGCTAGCTGGAGGTTAAAGCAACATAGTATGAGGGGCAGCAGTAGCATGTTTATGCAAATTAAAAAAATTCACGCTTGTGACCCAAGCACTTGAGAGATGGAGGTAGGAGGATTGCCATCAGAACAGAGCCAGCCTGGGCTACAGAGAGATTACAGTCTTCTTCTTTTTCTTAAAAACCAGCTGAAGTTAGATGTGGTAGAGAATGCTTTTTAAATTTTTTTATTAGATTTATTCATTTTACTTTATATATGAATGTTTGGCCTGCATGTATGTCTGTGTACCACATGTGTGCTTGGTGCCATTGGAGGGAGGGAAAGTGCATGAGATCCCCTGGAAGTGGAGGTAGGAAGAGCTGGGAATTGAACTCAGGTCCTCTACCAGAGCAGCCAGTGCCTTTACCCACTGAGCCAATCCTTTAGCCACTACAGCATGCTTTGATTCTCAGCACTTGGAAGGCAGAGGCAGCGAGCTCTCTGAATTCAAGACCAGCCTGGTCCACACAGCTAGGTTCTAGGCCAGCTAGAGCTACATAGTGAGACCTTATCTCAAAAAGAAAATAAGAAAAGCTGAGAAAGAAAATTCCCACACCCTGTAAACCACATACCACAAAACATAAATAAGTATGGTCTATAGCTCTGTGGAAAACTATAGAGGGCCTATATCCAAGGGAATGCACATTAAACCTTCAAGGTTCTCTCCTTAATACAGCATGCAGAAGCTGAGCAGTGGTGGCAGGTGGATCTCTAAGTTCACAATTAGCCTGTTCTACAGAACGAGTTCCAGACTACACAAAGAAACCCTGTTTAAAAAAAAAAATACACCAGGCAGATAGAACAGGAGTGAGCGAGAAAATAAACTGTTTAAAGAGAATAGATGGGTTATTCTTTCATTAACTTAGTAATGACATCTCTCACTTTTCTTTCTCCCAGAAAGAATACATTGGTATTCAGTTCTTTATAATGGAACAATTCCTACTTAAATGTATTTGGCCATGTGTTTTAAAATCTCTTTTTAGGGAGTATTTGATCTCTCCAGTTCTAAGTTTTATGAGCAGAAACTTCGTCTCTTCCCCTGCCTCAGAATTCTAAAGGGAGAGGACCCAGTACATCCTGACCCATTTTTTTCCTTCCTAGACCCCAGAGAGAGCAGCTGCCAAGTGGAACAGCTGCCCAGCTTCTTCCCAAAGGATGTGAGAAGCCACAAGGATTTGGTAATAAGAGGTAGGGAATAGAGACCTTTCTGGAAAATCTCTTTGCCATCCCAGGATTTTCTTTTCCCTCTTTCCATCTTTTCTTCCTTCCTTCCTTCCTTCCCTTTCTTTCTTTCTTTCTTTCTTTCTCTGACTTTTCAAGACAGGGTTTCTCAGTGTAGCCTTGGTTGTCCTACAACTCACATTGTAGACCAGGCTGGCCTTGAACTCACAGAGATGCACCTGCCTTTGCCTCCCTCCCTAGTGCTGTGATTAAAGGTGTGTGCCACCACCACCCAGCCCAGGATTTTCTTTTTAACCTTTAAAAAATGCATTTTGGGGACTGGAACGATGATTCAGCTGTTAAGAGTATTGGCTGCTCCTCTAGAGGACTTTGGGGTCAATACCCAGCACCCACATGGCAGCTCACAACTGTCTGTAACTCCAGCTCCAGTGGCTATGCATATACATGCAGGCAAAACACCCATGATAAATTTTTTTAAATGCCACACTTCTTAGTCCAGATCTCAAATGTGCTATTTTAAAGACAAATATCTCCTCAGGAGAATGTCTGGAAATGAATTTTTATATTAACTTGTTGCCTAACGTATGACTGTATAAATCAGATGGGGATGAAGAAGAGAAGGAAATAGCACTCAGTCCTCTCTGCATTTAGGAAAACAATCTATGAGCATTGCTCTGTGCTGGATTTACTGCAATCGCTTGTCTTCAATGGCCCCTTGCAGGAAGGAGAGCAGAACTTGCACAGTCAGTACCATAAACATGGACGGAAGAGGAGGTGAACCAAAACAGGGCAAAGTGCAGCCGTGGAGTTCAACAGGAGTCATGAATGAAAGTGAGTTATCTGCACAATGCAGATTAAGAACCCGCTTTGTTTTTCCGTTTAGTTCTTCCAGAAATTAACACAGACATCAAAGAGGCTCCGTTCAATGAAAATCAGACTATAACTACCCTGCAGTGCCGTGGCTCTGGGAGGAGAGTGACAGTCCATCTTGCATATTCAGAGAGAAGGCCAAAGGTCAAGTATACGCTGAAGAACCTAGGAGTCTTTGCTGATCTCCATAGAAACAGCACGGCCTCCCCAAGCTGTCACCTCAGGCCCACTTCCCAGTTTCAGAATGGATCCCTGCTAACAGGTAAAGTGAGACCAAAGAGCTGCTAGAGGTAGGTTGACAGAAATTTACAGTTGACATCCTTGGTGGCCAGTATTTGTTAGCAGCCAAAGCCACAGTGAAACAAACTATTCTCCCCTTGGGAAAAAATAAGGGTCCTTTCTGAGAACCAGTTTTCTAATTTCTTTAACAATAATTTTAAATTATATTTATGTGTTTAGTAGTGTGTGTGTGTGTGTATGTGTGCGCGCACGCACGCGGGAGCAAGCATGCATATGTGTAAGTATGGCCATGTATATGAAGGTTAGAGGACAACTGAAGCCACCTTTGGGAGTCAGACAAAATAGATTCGGTAGCAAATGCCCTTATCCACTGGTCCACTTCACTGACCCCAGGTCCCATATTTCTAGTTTCTAAGACTCCTTCTGGCCCTAGTGTCCTGTGATATTCATAAGATACAAAATATTTTTTGAGACAAGTTCTTACTGTATATCCCTGGCTGGCCTAGACTGCTTATGTCTACTAGGCTAGCCTCAAACTTACATCAATCTATTTGCTTCTGCCTCCTGACTACCAGAATTAAATGCATTCACCACTACGCCTAGCTGGTCTTCATTTCTGATGGGTGGGTCTTCTTTGTCTTCTTTTTTTTTCCTTCTCTTGTTTTTTTTTTTTTCCCCAAGACAAAATTTCTCTGTGTAGCCCTGGCTGTCCTGGCTGGAACTAGCTTTGTAGACCAAGCTGGCCTCGAACTCTCAAGTGCTGGGACTAAAGGCATGCACCACCACCTGGTGGGTGTGTCTTCTTTTAACAATAGTTGTGGGCCAGGTGTGGAGCACTCAGGAGGCAGAGGCAGGAGGATGTCTGTGAGTTTGAGACCAGCTGGCTCTACATTGTGATTCCCAGGACAGCTATCTATAGGCAATTTACATTTGCATTCATCTGCAAATAGCTAAACAAAGGTCTTTTAAAACACCAATATTTTGTGAATTTTGGTTTTTTTTTTTTAGTGCACAGTGAAATCTACAAACAGCACATAGTTATTATAGTGAAAAGTAATCCTCCCTCCTACTCTTGTCTCTCCATCCTCCAGTTCTCTGTCCCCGAGGATAGAAGGAACCACTATTACCTACTGTATTTCCTTCCATGCATGAATAGGTGTGCATACATCCCCCCCTTCAGACAAGGTCTCATATTGCCCAGGATGGCCTCCAGCTTGCTGTGTACCTCAGGCTAGCCTTGAACTCCTGAAACTCCTCCCTCTACCTCCCAAGTGCTAGAAATACAGGCATGAGACCCCATGCCCAGATCATTTGCAAATGTGGAAAGCATGGGGCAGTACCACACCATCCACCCTGCTCTGCACCCTGGTTTTCCACGTGCACGGGTTTATCCTATGTCCATAGTCATAAATAAATTTGACTATGGGTGGTTGGGTTGTAGAATATTGAATCCAAGGCTTTGAACATGCTAAGCACATGTCTGTTTCTTAGCATATTATGTCACTAGCCTTACCTCATTCTTCTTCATGGTATTCTACTAAGTTGCAATCTATTTCCCTAGTTCTCCATTGGTGACAATTTTGGTTATTTCCATGTTTTTTACTAATACAAACAATGACATTATACAGTTCTCTTGTGTATCTACTATTTATCAAGGAAAAGAACTCCAAGAAGCAGATCTGCCACATCGACAGCTGATAACTGGTGTTCATTTAGGCCCCACAGAGACGGTTCCAGTTTCCATTGCTATCTGCCCTGTGTGAAGCTGCTTATTCCCCAACAGCAGCAGTTCTTGATTTCAACTTCTGCCATCTTTTCCTTCTTTCACACATTCCTCTGCCGAGTAGTTCCTGAACAATAGATTAGTGCACAGCTCTCACTTCGCACGAGGCCGTCGTTTTAGGCTCTGCTGCTATAGTGTTGGAAAATAACACTTGGTGCTTAGAGACACTGGGAAGTAGAGGGATCACAAGCAAAATGATGTAGAAATAAACTTGGCTTCTTGGCTTGTTTGTTTTTCAAGACAGGGTTTCTGTGTGTATCCCTGGCTGTCCCGGAACTCAATCTGTAGACCAGACTGGTCTTGAACTCACAAAGAAACTTTTAAAACGTACAGTAAAGATTGAAAAATAAGGGGAGGACATTTTCTTGGGATAAAGCCCAAGAATGGTAAATTAGTTATTCTTACTTGATTTGAATGTTTCAGTCACTTTATTATAATTAAGAAAAATTCTACCACTAAAGGCTAGGACTAGTGGGGTACACCTATAATCCCAACATACAACATACTGATTTTTAAGACAGTTTGAGCTATATGAAGTCCCAATATACAACATACTGATTTTGAAGACAGCTTAGGCTATATGAAGTCCTGTTGAAAGAAAGAAAGAAAGAAAGAAAGAAAGAAAAGAAAGAAAGAAAAGGATTAAGTAGTTAATTAAACTCTACCACTGGGAGGGCTCTTAAAACCCAAGAATCACTCAGTATCAATTTATTGGGCCTTTTCCTCTTACTGTGTGACACCCTGTTGACCTGACCGCAGTACTGGCTTTAAGTCATCTTCCAGTCTGCAGTTCTCTGAGTGGTACCATGCTATACACTGTGGGACCTGAGGTAATTAAGGACATTAGCTGTCAGAAATTCTGAACCAGGAAACCTGGGGGGTTAAGGGAAACGAAAGTTACCAAAGATCAACCTGCCCTATTGAAAATGTTTGCCTTGGGGTGACTCCAGGCTTTGAGCTCTTTCCAAGAGCTCAAACTGATTGCCCCAGTTCCCTGTATGTTGCTGTGAGAAAAGGAGTCTTCCTCCTTCTCACGGATGCTTGCTCAAAGCAAAGGTTCTGAAATCCCGACTCTGAGGCAGCACCCTATAGGATTTGAGTCGTGTAAAGAGACCTAACGGATATTTGGTTAGTTTGGGTCCTAATCACCATTCGCCACATGTGTTTACAAAGCCACCATGACAAATCCACACAGCCACATTATGAATGGACTTTTGAAAGGAACTTTCTTTCAAAGTCCGAAGATGCCTGTTCTGAATTTAAACCACATTAAATCACAAAGATGCAACAGACCTCAAATAGGTTAGAAATAAAATCTAGGAAAACAGTCCGACTTAGATGGTCCCAAGAGACTTGCACACAGGCTGACGTCAGTCTGCAGAGGGAGGTGTCTAAAATATAATCAAGTGGCATTAATGGAAAGCTCCTCTAAGTCAAGTAAGAATGTGGAATTGTAAGGACAAGAACTTTCCACAGCACAGTTGGTCTTAACAAGACATGGACCAAACATAAAATGGAGAAGGGAAACACAAGACAGTGGCTGAGGTGTAGCTCAGTTGGTAGAGCGCATGCCCAAGTTTCTTTTCTCACAGCAACATACAGGGAACTGGGGCAATCAGTTACAATACAGTTCCTGTTCCTACTGCTCAGATTTTATTTTTAGAAGCTTTCCAGTTACCCATCAGGTTTCATAGAGACCTATCTGTTTTTAACAGGACACGAGAAAGATAAAAATACCCTATCTGATTTTTGTCTTATTTTTATCTTTTCAAGACTGGTTCTCAGGTACCCCTCACTACGTATTTGACAATAAGCCTGAACTACTGACTCTCCTGCCTCCGCTTCCTGAGTGCTGAGATCACAAGTGTGCACCACCACACACAGCTGTTTCATCCAGTTGATAAATATTTTCTACTTTGCTTTTTGAAACAATCTCACCTTGGCTGGCCTGGAACTCACTTTGTATACCAAGCTGGCCTCAAACTCACAAAGATTCTCTGCCTTCAAATGCTAGGACCAAGGTCTGTCCAACCACATCTGGCAAATATTTTCTTCTTGTGTGACTTTTTTTTCTTTCTTTCTTCTTTTGTTTTTTTGAGGCAGTTTCCCTGTTCCTGGCTGTCCTGGAACTCACTCTGTAGACCAGACTAGCCTCAAACTCAGAGATCCTCCTGCCTCTGCCTCCCAGAATGCTGCGATTAAAGGCGTACACCACCACCCATGGGCTGTGTGAGCATTTTTCAAATGTCATTTTAGTAGACGGATTAGGATCTTTATAATTTGACCAGTGTGAACTGACATCTAAGATCTGGTTACTTCATATGAAACTGTGGGTTATGGAAGTTATAAATGTTATAAATCGAACTAGTATTTATTATGATGTTAACAATTGCCTTTGGCAAGTTAGGCATTTTCCCAGTGCTCAGTTTCTACAGTTACAACTGGGAGGGCTGACAAGATGATCTAGTTTTCAGAGGTACAGAGGATTAAACATTAGCGTGCAAGCCTAACAACAAATGTAAAGACTCCCAAATGGCCCTTCAGCCTGTGAGTATTATTACAGAATAATCTCTAAGAGACACCTCTATTTATTATTTTTGTTTGTTTCAGACAGGGTCTCACTACATAGCCTTGGTTATCCTTGAGTTCCTTATGTAGACTAGGCTGCCCTCAAACTCACAAGAGATTGACCAGAAAATGACACCTCTATTTAAATATAATGTATTTATCCAGACGTGGTGGTATATGTCTGCAGTCCCAGCACTTGGGAAGCAAAGGCAGGAGGACAGGAAGTTTGAAGGCAGACTAGCTACATAGTGAAACACAGTCTCAGAAAAAATAGTAACAATACATAGCTAGTTCAAGTTTAACTTGGGCTACATAACTAGATCCTATCTCAAAATCCAGCCAAACAAAAAGTTATATTAAATTTATATGAAAATGGATTAAATATATTCAATGTGCTTTATTTTAAAATTATGTTTTAAACAAAGAATCTTTTTTTAAAAGATTTATTTATTATGTATACAACATTCTGCCTCCATGTATGACTGCATGCCAGAGGAGGGCACCAGATCTCATTACAGATGGTTGTGAGCCACTATGTGGTTGCTCGGAACTGAACTCAGGTCTTCTGGAAAAGCAGCCAGTGCTCTTAGCCACTGAGCCATCTCTCCAGCCCAACAAAGAATCTTTTAAAACTATGGATTATTATTGTATTTAAAAATTTCATAAAGTTGGATTTTTAAAAACAAACTCCTTAAATTGGGGTCTTTCTATGCAAAAAAAAAAAAAAAAAAAAAAAAAACACCGAAGTCTTACTATGCAGTCCTTGCTTGCCTAGAATTCTGTACATAGGCTTGACTGGCCTTGAACTCATGACTCTGCTCTAGAACACTGGGATTAAAGGTGAGTATCACCATGCCCAGCAAGCTGGGATGTTCTTGTGGATTGTTTTTGAGGCAGTGTCTCATTCTGTAACCCTAAGTGGCATGAAACTTTCAAATAAATCAGGCCGATCTCAACTTGCATTGACTTTCCTGCCTCTTGCCTTCCAGGTCCTGGGGCTAGAGGCATGTGCCATCATGGTCACCTTAAATTGGGGCATTCAGTTCAAATACCTTCAGCCAAAGAAAAACTAATTTTGCAATCCCATCATCAATGGAATAAAGTGGGTTTGTTTTTTTTTCTGAGACAGGATTGTTCTCTATATAGCCCAGGCTGTCTTAGAACTCACTCTGTATGACTTTGATCTCAGTCAGAAATCGCCTGCCTCTGCTTCTTCCCAGTGCTGGGATTAAAGGGGTGTGCCACCACCACCTGGAGGAAATAAAATATATTTCAAACCTGTTCTACCTTGATGTTCAGATACTTCAGAGATAGGACCTGAAAGAGATGGGCTGCCAACGTGGACATTAATTCAGAGGACTGAAAGTACACTGACAGATGAAGCCTACCCAGTAGGCTCTGAAGTCACATTCTCATGGGAATACGGGACATATGTCTCTATGTCATTATCCCTCTGGCTACCAGACGGAGTTCTTCTGCTTAGAGAGACAGTCTCTAGGCTTTCCCTTATTTTTCAATCCCAGTTCACTCAGCTTGCAAAGTGTTTTCATACCTGCTTTCTTGTTATTTGTTTCTGATGTTTACAACACCTCTGAGAAATAGATACAGTGAGTATGTTTTATTACAACAATATTGCAAACAGGGAAACCAAAACTCAGAATTATGTAACTTGTCCAAAGTGAGTTCTGCTTATCTTCAAACATGTATGTTACCACTTAAGAGAAGTGACTGGAGCCGGGCACGGTGGCCAACACTGTCTCCAGTTCAACTCCGATCAGGGACCACTATTTAGCCTGTCATTTGTTGCATGATGACTGGTATTGAAAGCTGCCCGAGTCCGATTGCTCCCTCTACACAACTGTTAAAACTGTCACTCTGATGTTTTACTTGTCAAGTTGTTCAACATCTCTGCCGATTAACAACAACAAATGATAATTTTAAAGGATATAAAGACGTGTGACAGTAATTTAGAGGCAGATGGTGGTGGTGCACACTTATAGTCTCAGTGCTCAGAAGGCAGAGGCAGAGGTATCTCTGTGAGTCAAGGCCAGCCTGGTTCACAGGGTGCATTCCAGGACTGCCTGGACAGAGAAACCCTGTCTCAAAAAATTAAAACAAAAAAGAGCAATTTAGAAAAGCTAAAGAAAAGTTATGATAAGAAACCATGCAAAATGGAATAAAGGCTCACAAGATGGTTCCAAAGGGGAAGGTGCTTGCTGCCCAATGATCCAAACCTGAATACTTGAGTTTGAACCCTAGCACCCAAATAAACATAGAGAACCACCTTCACAAAGTTATCCTCTGACCTCCACATGGACACCTTGGCATGCACCACTCCCCAGGAAATAATACAGTTTCAAATGGAGTAAAAGACTAGTTTTGGTGGCACACTTATAACCTCACTTCATGTTTGAGCGCAGTCTGGCCATAGTGCATTTGATGCTAGGCTAATATGGGCTACATAGGCACACCCTGTCTTTTAAGTACAAGGGGTGAGGGTGTGGAGAGGAAGAGTCACCACTGTCTGAATTGGATTAGGTCCATTCTATAAGCAGGTGGAGTTGGGTGCAGACTACAGCCGGAATTCATCTGTTCCTCCTCATTTTTATCCCTGGCTGAATCCTGTCACCCCTCACCTGCTGTCTCCAAAATCTGTTGCCACCACCAGGTGATGCTTCCTCTACCCTTATCCCATAACGGTCCCTTTCTAACACAGCAGTCCAGTGAATGGTCAATTAAAATGAATCTTAGCTGGGCATGGTGGCTTGCACCTGTAATCCTAGCACTTATGAATCTGAAGCAGGACTACTGTGAGTTGGAGGCCTGGCTAGGCTGCAGAGTTAGACCCTGTCTCAAACAAACAAACAAAAAAAAAAAAAAGTAATAACACCCTCCCCACAAAAAGGTCATTCTTGATCAAAACCTTGCAACAGATCCTTATTTCCAAAGCCCTGAACTTGGCACACAGAGCCTGGATTTCTGCATCCTCTCAATCCTCATTCCTTCCCTTGCTCCTCCATGCTGGCTACTGGCTGCCTACTGCTTCCCTATAACTGTAACCTTCAGACACGCTCTGCCTTGGGGACTTTATTCCCATTGTCCCCTCCACCTAGGTTATTTCCCTCAAGTCTTGGCTCAATTCTAACCTCAGAGAGGCTTGGCCTATACTGCAGGTTGCCCAACTCTTACTTATGACTATTCCTCCGACTACTTTGTCTTGCAAGTTTTTTTTTTGCTCTTTATTTGTTTGTTTAATTGACTGATTGTTCTTTTTTTTAATATTTATTTATTGTGTATACAATATTCTGTCTGTGTGCATGTCTGCAGGCCAGAAGAGGGCACCAGACCTCTTTAAAGATGGTTGTGAGCCACCATGTGATTGCTGGGAATTGAACTCAGGACCTTTGGAAGAGCAGGCAATGCTCTTAACCACTGAGCCATCTCTCCAGCCCTGACTGATTGTTCTTTAAGACAGGGTTTCTCTGTGTAGCCCTGGCTGTCCTGGAACTTGCTCTATAGAGCAGGCTGGCCTCGAACTCAGAGATCCACCCAACTTTGCTGGATTAAAGGCATGCACCACCACTGGCTAGCTAACTGGTTTTGGTTTTTATTTTGTTTTCACATGGTTTTGGTTTTTAAAGATTTATTTTTTTTATTTATGGGTATGTCTGCCTGCATGTATGTATGTGTATCGCAGGTACATGGATGCCAACAGCAGCTAGAAGAGGGCACTGCATTTCCTGGAACTGAAGTTATAGGCACTTATGAGCAGCCTGATGTGATGCTAGGAACCAAACCCAGGTCCTAAAAAATCAGCAAGTGCTCTTAACTACCAAGCCATCTCTCTCATGCCTGATTTTGGCTTGTAAGACATAGTCTTACACTATGTATCTCCGACTAGCTAGAAACTCATTAGTTAACCCAGGATGGCTTTGAACTCTTGGTAATCCTCCAACTCAGCCTTACCAGTGCTGGGATTACAGGATGAGCTACCATAAGTGGCTTCTTGTTCTTGATTGATTGATTAGTGCTTTTGAGAGAGAATCTCTCCTTGTGGCCCTGGCTGTCCTGGTCACTATGTAGACCAGGCTGACCTTGGCCTCCTGAGTGCTGGGATCAAAGGCATGTGCCACTATGCCCATCTCTAGTTTTAGTTTTTAAGTAGTACTTACTCTAATATAGAATAATGTTTTTGTTTAGTTTTGTTTTTTGAGGTAGGGTCCTTCTACTCAGCTGTGGCTGGCTTGGTACTCACTATGTAGCCTAAGTGGGCCTTGAACTCAAGGTTATCTTCCTGCCTTGGTCTCCTGAGTGCTGGGACTATAGGCAGGTGACACTACACCCAGTCATAAAATATATAAAGTCATTGTTGTCTCTGCTTCCTCTGCCCTGACCCCAGACCTTTTTGTTTGTTTTCCTGTTATTATGAATCCAACTGATAGAAGATTTGAAGCAGTGCCTGGCACATAATAGACACTGGTTTTTAAATATTAAATGATGAAACTGAGGAGACCATGAAGCTGGGTGCCTTTCCATCTCCTAGTTCCTCTTACTTGTACCACTGCCTTCTCAGAGTAGTTGATGGGGCTCCACTACACAGGCCTGCAGTGGGCAAATGCATCTCAAGTTCTTCCCTGGACTTTGGAACCACCTCTATTAGTGAAGGAAATGCTCAGTAAGGTCACATCCTCTATCTTTATTCTTACTATTATAACCTCAAGAATGGTAGGCAAGCCAGATATGGCTCACTCCTTCCCTCTGATTATAGTCAAAGGATTCCTGGAGATTTAATCCATATCTCTTCTTGGCATCTCTGGCCTCGTTTATTCTTGGCATCATTCTGTGCCTACACCTAAAACCTATGAACATACAGGTCAACGGGGCCACAGTCAGAAATGCAGTATGAAGTGAGGAGACCTAGGGTTTTGTCACAGAAAACCAAAGTAGGATGATGCTTGCTGTGATACAGTTGTCCATCTGTTGCTTCTTTTTTGTTTTATAGCTTTCTTACCAGGGATCTCTCACTGCAAGGTCTACCCAGCAAAGAGTAGATCTGCTTCATCAGAGACGGTGCCCAATACTACCACCTCCACAACTCCTAGAAGTAAAGAAGAGAAAACTACAAGCACTGGGGGTTTCCCCAGCCCTTTATCACAAGGTACAAATGAAGCAGAGCGGCAAAGCAAGAGAAGGAAGAGGAAGAGACATTTTAGCCCCAATATTACTCTAGGTCCCCTAGGACTTGAAGCTACTTTATATTAAAAAATTATTCCATGTTTTAATAAGAGAAAAAAAAAGGTTCTCCATAAGGAAGTTCCCAGAAACACTTGTAGTTCAACACAGTCGATAATCCTTTCCTTGAGGGTGGAGAGATGGCTCGGTGGTTAAGAGCCATCTTCACCTGATGTTAAGCTCCAACTTCAGGTATCTCACACAACCACCTGTAATTCTAGTTCCAAAGGATCTGATGTGCTCTGGTCCCTGAGGATACATGCATGCACCAGTGCACATAAAGTCACACAGACACCACGCACGTGTGTGCGCATGCGTGCACACACACATATATATATATACACACACGACTATATATAATAAATCTTTTATTGAAAATGTTAATTCCTTATTTCATGAATATGACCTCAGATTTGGAAACAGACTAAATTCAACTGGTACATACCAGCCACTTGCATGGATAGATGTATATTTAATAGTAAGCAATTACTAACAGAGATGACACCAATCAACATGTCTTCATCTTCACTGGTTTTTAAAAAGAGCCCTTCCTAAATTGGCCAAGACTCAAATTCTCTAAGATTCAAGTTTGGGTTGCATCCCAGGTTCATCCCAGTGGAAAAGTATAATGAGATCAGTAATAACATAATAGATGAGAGCCTTCTGGCCTGGACTTGGCTTATGATTCACAAGCAGTGACAATTCACCGTTGTTCTTCCTGTACCCTCCGGGAACCAAGACTGGAGCGGTAATTTTTGTTTGTTTTTGTTTCTTTTTGAGACGGGTCTCAATGTAGCCCTGACTAGTCTGGAGCTCATTAAATAAATGAGGCTGGCCTTGGGCTTAGAGACCTGCCTGCTTCTGCCTCTTGAGTGCCAGGATGAAAGGTACGTGCCACCAGGCCTGAAATGAAGATGCTGTCTGTATATTTGTATTGCTTTTTCTTTTTTCAGTGACAGAGATGGGAGGAGATATGATTTTTGTTTTTAAGACTGGGAACTTCAAGAGGACTGACTGGGAACAATGGGTGAAGCGCTCCTTGTGCACCCCAGGTTTTTCTTCCCAAGAACAGTACAAGAATCAGCATGCATGACTCTGGAGAATCCCAGATTCTAGGGAAGGTGGCTCATTCATAAAAGAAGCTAGTGAGGGGCCCATGCTGCCGCCGCACCTGATTCTGAGCCCCAGGTGAAAATCCAGTCTCTGCCTCTGAGTCAGGAGTGCCTGATTAGTCTGAGGAGGACTCGCAGTCCTGCTGAGCCTTGCTCATATTCTCTTTCTCTCCATCCCTCTTTCCTTTCAGACACAGATGTGTCCTTAAAGAAGAGGCAGAAATGGAGTATTGTCATCAAAGCTCTGATTGCTGCTGCTCTGCTGCTTGGGGGAGTCATCATTATAGTGTTTGTCATCTTCAAAGTCCCATGCCCAGTGAGTCTGCTGATGTCCACAGAGGAACTGAGTCCCTGGCTCCACCAATAGACGCTGCTTTCTGTTGGAAAGGCAGCATAGCGTAAGGAAAGCAAGCACCAGCTGAGTGGCTTGTGGGAAGTTGCTTGACTTCTCCATTCTACAGCTGCCTTCTCTGTGAAACAGGACTCCTGATGTCGCCTTGCTTGTGGCTGTGGCAGCTAACCAGGATCCTGTTTGAGAGGCACCTAGTACATCAAAGGTGCTCTCTTAACGTGAGCTCCTTTCCCCCACTCTCTAGGAAGTGTGGTTCTAGTTAGTGTCTTCCTTAGAGAGGAGCATTTTTTTCTAGAATCCTAGTACTTGGAAGGTAGGGAGCAGACCGGGAATTCCAGGCTAGCCTTGCAAAATTGAGGCCAGCCAGGTTACATGACAGAAAGAAGGGGGGAAGGGGGAGTGTAAGAAAACAGAGCATTGTTTCTTTTAAATGACTTGACAGGAAGGTTGGAAGATAATCCAGTGTGTATCAGCCACTGAAATGATAACCAGCCGTTCTCTCTTCAGAGTCCATGCCTCAGAGCCAGAAGGCTGTGCCAATGGCAATGGCTATGGAGAAGGGAAAGAAAGGAAGACCAGCAACCTGGGACAACTGAGTCCCAGTGGGACTCGCTGCCTGAGAAGGGAAGTATTCTCTGTATAGTTTGTGCCATGCGTCTAGACAAAACAATGTAAGTGATGAGATGTAGTCAAATGCTTCAGTTATAAAGCAAATGTGATGAATTATTCTGTGTCAAAAAACTGGCCAGGCCAGGAAGTGGGGCACCTGCCTTTAATCCCAGCACTCAGGAGGCAGAGGCAGGTAGAGCTCTGTGAGTTCGAGGCCAGCCTGGTCTACAGAGCAAGTGCTAAGACAGGCTCCAGAGCTACACAGAGAAACCCTGTCTCAGAAAACAAAAACCAAAACAAAACCGGACAGATGCAGATGTGGTGGTGCACTCCTTTAATCCCGACACTGAGGAGGCAGAGGCAGGTGGACTTCTGTGAGTTCAGGCCACCCAGGTCTACAGAGTGAGTTCCAGGATAGCCAAACAAACAAACAAACAAACAAAGCAAAAACACATTGTTATTTGGCTGAGTTTGGCAGAATGCATCTATAATACTAGCATGATCAGGCAGAGAAAGAATCAACAATTGAAAGCCAGCCTCAGCTTCAGCTATATAAGGAAGTCTGAGGCCACCCTGGGCTACAGGAGATACCATCTAAACAAAAACAAAATAAAGAAAATAATAATACTAAGAGAGACAGAGACATGTGGGGGTGGGGAAAGAAGTTGATTAGAGAGAAATATATATGTCTGGGACCTAGATAAACTGAGTCAAAATGTGTAATGTCTAGAGTTGGGACCAGGGGTCTTTATTATCATTACTGTTATTCAGATGTGTTCTCACTATGTTGCCTAGACTAATCTTAATTTTTTTACGTCAAGTCATCCTCCTATCTCAGCTTTCCAAGAAGCTTATTCTACTCCCATGCTCATCTTATTCTTAAATTTTTAATAAGCTCCCTAACGGGGTTGGAGAGGTGGCTCAGAAGTTAAGACCAGTTCTTAGCACCAAAACAGGGTGGCTCACAACTACATTTTAACTCCAATTCCATGGGTTACAATGCCCTCTTCTGGCCTCCGTGGGTACACATATGGTGTACCACAAGCAAGCAGCCACCTACACATCTAAAAGTTGTGCAGGTGCCAAAGAGATGCTCAGTGGTTAAGAGTACTTGTTGCTCTTCCAAAGGACCTGGATTTGATTCTTAGCACCCACATGGTTGCCCACAACTGTAACTCCAGTTCCAAGGGTTCCAACACCTTCTTCTGATCTCTTTAGGCATCAGACACACACATGGCACACATACATACATGTAGGCAGAATACCTATAAACAAAACTGTATAACGTTCATAATAGTTGGGCATTTAGAAAATGCATACAAAATCTGATAGTTCATAAACTCAAACACAGTAAGGGTGGAACTGGATTATTTAAAATATTTAAACCAGGTGTATGCCACACTCTGCATGGCTTCAAGAACTGGCCTAACTGGGTGATGAGGGAATGAGAGAAGGACAGACACAGGGACACATATACAGAAAGACGGGGATCAGCTGGGCTACGCTCATTCTGATGGCCAGCACCGACTGCTGCCCAGAACTTCAGCTCATTTATTTTATAGAGCTGAATGAGGACGCAGGCTTATAGTACACAGCCAAGTAAAGAAGGGGGCTCATGGTCTACAGCTGAACAAGGAGGCAGGTCTAGCTCATCTCAGTAGGAGGTCTCGGGGGGAGCAGTCCCAGGCTGCAGTCATCCAGGAGGAGAAGCTGTGGTTTCTAGTTTTTGCACACACTGGACAATTATTTGTAAACACTGGCACTTGGACCAGAAGAAGGCTTTGTCATTTCTCTGACCCTCACTGGGGAAGGCGTCCCACTCCTATGGGTCTGAGGCATTGGGGTCGTTGGCATGGCTGTGCCCATGTTAGCAATACACATTCACTCAGGACTCATCCACTCCCCACAGGTGTGGTGCACACACCTATATTCCTTGCACTTGGGTGATGGAGGTAAGACGAGCAAGAGTTCAAGGCGTTCTCCACTATGTAGTGAGGCAGCTTGATATACAAGAGACCTTGTTTCAAAAATAAATATTCAGATCCTAAAATCTCTTTCCAAATCCTCTTTAAACATAATGAGATCCTTTGGGTTTGATTCAAGGAAGGAAGTGGAATTCCTGTGCTATGGGATCCAGTGTAGCCGCACACTCGGGGCTGTTTCCATTCCAGAAAACCTGGTCAAGACATGGGCGATGGGCCCTCTGCTAGTGGCTTATAGGTTCTTGATTCATGAGCAAGTGGTCATGTTTTCTCAGAACAACCATCAGGCAGGTAAAGAGGGAAACCCAGGTGTACTGGACTGAAATGGGTTTTCTCCTCAGCGATCCCTTGCTGATTCGGTTCATCTGCACACTTACTTACCTTTCGTGTGTCCTTTCCATCTCTAGGTTGGACAAGATGCTCCTAACTCTTCAGTCCCAAAGAAAACTACAGGCGTCACTATAACCCACCAGACATACTTCTGAGCTCGGCTTTGCCTCACTCTGAACGCCAGTGCTGTCTTCTGCACCACCGTCTCCTTACTGCAAATCATTACAGGCTGAAGCCCTCACACTCGTATCTTCACGGGGACTTTATAATCAAATATATGCCAGGACAGTGAAGGAAGACCCTGGGTCGACAGAGCTACCCTCATGCCCTGCGCCTGACACAGACATAAGCCTCTGTGATTCACTTTGTACATCCATAAAATGGGTTATCTGTCCATCGCAGCAAATGAAGGCAAAGTCCCTGCCTCCGAGTGTTGTGAATGACCTTGTCTTCAATGAAAGCCGAGACACAGTCTCCAAAGAGCCGGAGCCGACAGCATCCACGTTCCAGCTCCTCTGCTGCCCTCCCAGCTTTCTTCATGCTCACTGGCTGTCAGCGAGCTTACACGGGGCATCTGCTCTCCCAGGCTTATGATTTAATGACTTAGCCTCTGTCAGTATACCTGATAAAGAGAACCCAGCATTAAGCGTCCCATAAGCCCTTCTAATAAGTCATTCCTGAAGGGTTTCAGGACAGCAGAATATAGCATTGAAATGAGATTGGAAAATTCAGGATTCCTAAAGGAGGTCTGATATTAAGCCTTTTCTTTCCTGATACTGTGATTTTGGACCAACCTCCTCACATTGCAAGTGCTATGCCACTGGGATGTAACTAAGCCCTTTTGTAAAGGTAACTTTTATTTTGAAAGGTAGGTTCTCACCAGTTACCCAGAACGGGAACTCTCTTAGTAGACCAAGAACTTTCAACTATCTTACTTCAGCCTCCCAGAGGAACTGGCAATACAAGTGTGAACCACCAGGCCTGGCTATGTCTTATTTAATTTTTAATTTTTTTGAGACTGGATTTTATGTGTGTAGCCCAGGCTGGCCTCCAACTTGCTGTGTAGCTGAGGATCACCTTGAACTCCCAACTTTCCTGCCTCTACTTCCTGTTAGGCACTATTTTACCAATAAGCTGTATGTGGTTTTAATTAAGGACCTGAAACAAAATGATCCCACTCACAGGGACACAGCTCTGAGTAGAATCTGACCTGCTTAGACAAGATTTCAGTGAGAAACCAGAACTGGGAACTGGAGCAGCTGATGCAGTGAATGGTGCTGTTCTGTGTTGTTCTGCTTCTTTCCCAAGAGTGTGAAACCGTTCCAACTGCTGATGTTCCCCTCCTCCATGTACACACTATTCCACATATACATATATATTACATGTAGCCCAGGCTAGTGTTGAACTACGTACATATCCCAGGATAACCTTCAGCTCATGATCCTCCTGTCTCCCACTTTTCATGCACTGAAATTACAGTATGTGTCACCACGCCTGGCAAGTGACTCTGTTTTCTTAGTTCTCTAGAATAAACCGTTCCTTTCACGTCAAGTACTGTTCCCAACAGAATTCTTGAAAGTGTACTAACTAAGCAGGGAACAAGCTGAGCCAGGAGGAAGGGACAGACACAAAACAATGGTGATTCAAAGTTTCCCGGAAGAGCTGGAGAACCTCTCAGATTCCACAGAACACACTTTCAGCACACAGCAGACAGGGACAAAAGACTACGTGTGGTGTTGGATGTGTGAGTGGACCATTTGCACCCTATTAGTGACAAAACATTGCCTCGAGTTTATCCAGACACCTGCTACTTTTCTTAGCCATATATTTGAGCAAACAAACAAACAAAAAACTGGTTTTTTCCCCAGGTCTGGTAGGGAAAGTTATTAAAAAGATTCTATTTGTTCTTAGGATTAATGCCAGCATCCATCTCACCCCTGCCCTCATCCACAACAGAATGTCCCACAACCCGAAAGTATCATGAGATTTCCTAGAAGATGAAAACCATGGCTAAGCCGGTGCTCATCAGTTCTGCTCTTCGGCAAGGGTGAAATTGGGTAACATCTGTACTGATTTTCTTCACAGAAACTGACACAATCAAAATTATGTTTTCCCTGTCAAAAGAATCTTCTAAGGATTTCCTCACTCCCTCATCAGTCAACAGCTTCGAATTCCTTCCGCAGTGGAGGGAGGATTTTGGAAACTAGGAGATGAGAGATGAGAGCAGAGAAAAGGGGGGCACTCGTGTGTGGACTTTGGGATGTGGACTTCAGTCTGAAGATTGCTCCAGAGTCAGACACAAATGCTCGGGTCATCACTCTGGGTGACACTCTTAGAAAACACTTCAGTGCAACTGCCAATGAGTCTTCTGCCAAGTGCCAAGTCTCTGTTGCAAACTCTTTCTCATTAAAATATATTCTGTTTTTCTGACTACTAAAGTGCATTTTCATTATCAAAATTTATATCAAAGCCGGGCGGTGGTGGTGCACGCCTTTAATCCCAGCACTCGGGAGGCAGAGGCAGGTGGATCTCTGTGAGTTCGAGACCAGCCTGGTCTACAAGAGCTAGTTCCAGGACAGGCTCCAAAGCTACAGAGAAACCCTGTCTTGAAAAAACCAAAAAAAAAAAAAAACAAAAACAAAATTTATATCAAACAATATAAAATGTAAAGTAATATAAGATTAAAAGTTATATTTACTCTCCCACAGGTAACCAATAACACTGATACTTCTTTTATAGGCATAATAAGTGTATGTGCATATAAGAGACATATATTACATAGCATAATACTCTCCATGCTACTTTCAACATAACGCCCTCTTTCCCCCACTAATACATTACTGTTGTATTTCCAATTGCCCATTAATTTCCTTGTGTTTATTTTCAGTGTTTTGTGTTTTTGGTTTTTTTGTTTTTGTTTTTGTTTTTTTCAAGACAGGGTTTTTCTGTAGCTTTGGTGCCTGTCCTGGAACTAGCTCTTGTAGATCAGGCTGGCCTCGAACTCATAGAGATCTGCCTGCCTCTGCTTCCTGAGTGTTGGGATTAAAGGCATGCGCCACCACCGCCCGGCTTTATTTTCAGTTTTAAAGGCAGCTAGAATGCTTTCTTTCTGAAGGATCTGTATGATGACCCTTTTGTTTTGCTAGACAAGGTCTCATATAGCACCGCTAGCTCTGAGTTCACAATGTAGCTAAGGATGATCTTGAACTTCTGATTTTTCTCTCTCTAGCTCCCAGGACTAGGACTGTAAGTGTACACCACCCTACCTGCTAATATTCCAATACAGCACTCCCCCCTCCTCACTGTAGCCCAGGCTGGTCTGATCTTAATGTGAGATAGACTGTCACGATCTTCTTGCCTCAGCTTCCCAAGGGCTGAGATTACATCCTGAACCACCTGCTCAGCTTTCCAGTACTTTTGGATAGGTACAGAGATGAGGGCAGATAGTTGCTTGGTGCAAACAAGACAAGTTCACAAAAAAATTCCACTTTGAACTTTTGAGGCTATTGCTTAATGACTGAGTAAACAGCTGTATGTGTGGGGTGTTAAAAGGGTTACTCTGAAGCCAGGCACAGTGGGTCAATCCTATAATCCTAACACTCAGACAGCTAAGGCAGGAAGACTGCTGTGATTTCCTCCAGGTCAGTGTGGACTACATAGTGAGTTCTCTGTAAACCTTGGCTACAGACTGAGACCCTGTCTCAAAATAAAAAAAAAAAAAAAACAACTTTAAGAGAGAGTAATAGAATGTAAATAACTGAAAGCAGAAGTGGGGACTAATTTGAAGAAGAAAGAGGCCAGTGGGGTAAAAGTACAAGATTCAAGTATGATACTTACATATGAAACTCTCATAATGAAACCCATTTATTCTGTATGCTGAGCAAAACAACAGAAAATAAGAATGGCTACTAGAAAGGTTTTTCCCCCTAAAAATAGATTATTTTGTTAAATAATATAAATATAAAAGTATAAAGGGTTAGGGAAGATTGCTACTCTTCCACTGAACTGAGTGTGGGTCCTAGGACCCACACCAGGCAGCTCATAACCATTTGGAACTCTAGTTCCAAGGGCCTTAATGCCCTCTTCTGGCTTCCACAGGCACATACACGTGGCATTTACTCACACAGACCCCCCCATATAGACATAAATTTTAAAAAAATCTAAAAAATATTAACACTTAAACTATGCATATATATAAATTGCATTTGCCATGTTTCCATTTTTAGATTTATTTAGTGTTCACATGTGTTTTGTCTTCAGGTATGTATATGCACCACATGTATGTCTGGTACCTGGAGTGGTGAGTTGACATGGGGTTGCCAGGAACTGAACTCTCAAGAGCAACAAGTGCTCTTTGCTGCTGAGCATCTCTACAACTGTGACCAAATCAAAACTGACCAAACTGTGGTGGCACACGTTTGTGATCCCCCTACTCGGGCAACTGAAGCCAACCTGGGCTACATAATGAGCTCAAGAATAGCCTGTTCTACATAGAAAAGAAAAATGAAGCTGACACGGGACTCTGGATATCTGGAAGTGCTAAGCAAGCATTAACATTCTTCCTTTCCTGCACCCTGAAGCTATGCGAAGGTGGGCATAGGAGCAGCAGCAGCCCTAACCACTCTCTACCCCCACTTCTGATTCTGGACACTCTTTAAACACTACCCAAGGGATTCTGACCTGAAGTGTTTCCCCAGCGTTTAGATTCAGCTATTTTCCAAGAAGAGTTACTTATGACAAGGAGCCACAAACCCTTTCCAAATGGACGCAATTTGCCTAGCCAGGTTAAGAGACTACGCTCTCCCTCCCCTCCCACTCTCAGAATTTCATTCCTGAGTTCACACAATAGCCCTCATGTTGTCTTGAGGACTTGCTATTTCTTCTATCAAGTGTACTTCCTGGTTCTTGTCCTTGAAGTCTGTTAACCCTGTATGAATTTGTGTATTTTTAAAAATAGTTTTTCGAGACAGGGTTTCTCTGTGTGTAGCCCTGGCTGTCTTGGAACTTTTGACCAGGCTAGCCTCAAACTCCCAGAGATCTGCCTGCCTCTGCCTCCTGAGTGTTGAGATTCACCACTGTGTATGTTTATATTGCTTTATATTAGTAAAGCATCATATCTGTAGTAAACACACAAATTGTGTGTTGATGGCCCATCACTGAACGGATGGTTGAGGGAGGCAAGTCTCAGCTTGTGTTTTTGTTTCTTCCCAATGACGAAGATGGTCCCCAGGGCCTTGTATGGTCCACAGAGGTGTTCTACATCTCCAGCCCTTTTTCGTTTTTACTTTTTGAGACACAGACTAACTTATCCAAACTGACTTTGAACTTGTGATCTTCCTGCCTGTTGCACCTGAGTAGCTGAGATTATAAACCTGTGGCACCAAGCCTGGCTGCATGACTCCTTTGTACAAGAGAATCAGGTAACCTTCTAAAAGTTGCTATTTCTTTTCTATGTAAGAATTATTTACTTTAATTATGTGTGAGCCTATGTGGGTATAGTGTCACAGATGACAGGGGTATCCGGGGCTCCTGAAGCTGGGCTCCAGAAGGTTGTAACTTGCCTGACATGGATGCTGGGAACCAAACTCAAGTTTTCTACAACAGGAGTATCCCCTTAACAGCTGAGCCCTCTCTAGCCCAAGCTGCTACTGGTTTTTTTTAGACAAGATAGATCAAAGAGGGCCCATACTGTAATTGTTAGTGGGGCTTGAATTCATCTCTTTGTTTATTATATTACTACTACGACTTTTAGACTCTGAGACAGGGTCTCACTGTGTAGCTATAGGTGGCCTGGAACTTGCTATCATTATGTAGACCAGGCTGGCCTCAAGTTCATATAGATCCATTTATCTTTGTCTCCTAGCTTCTGAGATTACATGCATGTGCGACCACATCCAGCAAATTCATCTCTCAGTTCATATTATTTGTTGTTACTAATTTTTAAAAAGATTTATTATGTATATAATAGTCTACCTGCATATATGCCTGTAGGCCAGTAGAGGACACTAGATCTCACTACAGATGGTCATCCACCATGAGGTTGCTGGGAATTGAACTCCAGCTCCTTCCCCATATCTTTGTATCTGCCCTTGCAGTCTCCCTCCAAACAAAGAATAAAATAAAATTTAAGAGAAAAAAGAAAAAGGAAAAATCTCATGGAGGCTGGAAGCTGTAGTGTGACATAGTAAGTCACGCAGTAAACCCTTTTTTTCCCATACACCTTTACTTGCAAGTGTTCATTTCAAAGAGTCATTAGTCTGGACCAGGTGGCGGTGGTGGCGCACGCCTTTAATCCCAGCACTCGGGAGGCAGATGCAGGCGGATCTCTGTGAGTTTGAGGCCAGGCTGGTCTACAAGAGTTAATTCCAGGACAGGCTCTAAAGATACAGATGAAACTCTGTCTCAATAAACAAACAAACAAACAATCAGTCATTGGCCTGTTTTGAGGCCTCTGGTTTCTACTACACTAATACACTGGGCCTTCACTGGGATTCCTCTTGGATATCCTGTTGTCCTGTGTCATGGAGATCTTGCAGCTCTGGATCTGCAGAACCAGCTCCTTCATATGCTCCAGTAGATCACAGATGGGATGGGCCAACTCCTAGCCATGGTTCTGAACCTGGGTAGCTGCAGAGTTGGTCAGCCTGCCAGCTTGCTCCAGTCCTCAGCACCAGGGTGAGCTCTCCAGCATTGCCCTGACTAGTTCACCCTTTGCAGCACTGAGCACGGGGCAGGACCAGCCAGAGGCCCTGTGTTCACGCCTTCAGGATCGGTTCACCCACACCTACACCATCAGGGCCAGTAGCTCCACTGGGTTGCCCAGGTGAGGTGCAGGAGCCACTCTCCTGAGTACTGCAGCTAGTGAGGGACAGGGACAGCTCTCCTGCTCTTATGACCTCAGTGCCTGCTCTCCCACCAATCACAAGCAGAGACAGGGTTTCTCTGCAGCTTTGGAGCCTGTTCTGGAACTCGCTCTTGTAGACCAGGCTGACCTCGAACTCACAGAGATCTGCCTGCCTCTGCCCCCCAAGTACTGGGATTAAAGGTGTGCACCACCACCACCCGGCTCAATATGTATTTTTTTTAAATATTTATTTATTTATTTATTTATTATGTATACAATATTCTGTCTGTGTGTATTTGCAGGCCAGAAGAGGGCAGCAGACTTCGTTTCAGATGGTTGTGAGCCACCATGTGGTTGCCGGGAATTGAACTCAGGACCTTTGGAAGAGCAGGCAATGCTCTTAACCACTGAGCCATCTCTCCAGCCCCAATATGTATTTTTTTAAAAGATTTATTTGCATCACTTTTTATTTAGGTGTGCGTGTGCATGCACACCTCGAAAAGTCAAAAGGTGGTGTCGGAATCTTAATTCAGGTCCTCTGGAAAAGCAGCAAGCATTCTTAACTGCTAAAC